CTGGCAGGGGGGTTGGGCTGGGGGAGCTTTCCAGGTCCCTTCCAACCCCTGGGATTCTGGGATTCTGTGATTCTATGCACTCAAAAAGTGGGGGAACCTCTGGGAAATTGCAGAGGTGAAGCTCCATGGTGAGTATCTGCTTTACCAGAACCTTGGCAACAGGAGAGGTCTCCTTGCAACACCTGCAGAACCATCTCCATCATGTTTTGAGCAAGGATGAAGTTGTTGCTGAAGCTTCTCAGCCTGATGCTGCCTTTGTCAGAGTGTTCTTCAGCCTCCATTGACTGGATGGACTGTCCATCCCTCTGGAGGAAGCTCCAGAAAGAGCACCTGCACCTTTGGACTGGTCTGGGAATGGTTCCCCTCAGGGGAAACATCACTTGCAGCATTTGTGGAACATCACTGCTGGGGTGGGTGACCCTTCACAGACAGGGCAGCTGGAGAATTTAGAGCCAGAGAGAAGAGAGGAAGCCAGAAGTTGTTTCTTTTCTAGATGGGTAGGTGGGGTTTTCTCCCAAACAGGCTGCCTGAGGAGGTCTCTTCTTTTGGCTGAAGCTCTACTGCTTGGCCAAAAGCTCTTCCTTTCTGGGGCTGAATTGCCCTCTTCTCTGCCTGTGCTGCAGAGATGCTGGGGTGGTGCCCATGGTCCTGGATTGCCAGGCAGCAGGACCAGGCTGGAGAGGACCTGGGACTTCTGGGGTGTGAAGAAATGGCACACAAGGTTTTCAGCCAGGTGTGAGCAGAGCTTGGACATGTCCAGAGCCTTGCTGGGGTGTTAAAACGTGAGGTAGGAGGTCGTACAAGTGTGAAGGCATCTCCCATGGGAAGGCAGAAGCAGCCCCACATCTCCAAGACCACAGGAACAAGAGATCAATGACTTGTCAGCAGCCTTGGCTGGGAGGGAAGAGCTTCCAAATCCAGTGAGACAGCCTGAAGGTGTGTCCAGCTCAGGGAAGGTGTGTCCAGCTCAGGGAAGGTGTGTCCAGCTCAGGGGAGGTGTGTCCAGAGCTCAGGGAAGGTGTGCCCAGCTCAGGGAAGGTGTGTGGAGCCTCAGGGAAGGTGTGTCCAGCTCCCAGGGAAGGTGTGTCCAGCTCCCAGGGAAGGTGTGTCCAGCTCCCAGGGAAGGTGTGTCCAGCTCCCAGGGAAGGTGTGTCCAGCTCCCAGGGAAGGTGTGTCCAGCTCCCAGGGAAGGTGTGTCCAGCTCCCAGGGAAGGTGTGTCCAGGTCAGAGGGAAGGTGTGTCCAGCTCAGGGAAGGTGTGTCCAGCTCAGGGAAGGTGTGTCCAGCTCCCAGGGAAGGTGTTTCCAGCTCCCAGGGAAGGTGTGTCCAGCTGAGGGAAGGTGTGTCCAGCTCCCAGGGAAGGTGCCAGCAGACACTGAGCTCCTCAGGGTGGGACTAAGGAGCCTCCTGATGGCTCCTGATGGGAATGGCAAGAGGTCTGCCCAGCATGGCTGTGCTTTTGTTGGACCTGGGGTTCACAGATCAAGCAAGATGCCCTTGCAGTTGGGAGCAATCCCTTCTTTGCTCAGCGTGTTGTTACATAGCTCCCTGGGATTGGCACTTTTGGGGGACACAGGGTGAAGGCAGCAGGGAGAGCTGAGCAGCCAAGGGGACACTCGGCAGCTGCTGGAGCCTGGCAGGAGGCAGAAAAGAGGGATGCAGGGCAGAGGAGGTGGGTGAACCCTTGGTTAGACCCACCACCTGCTGAGGTGGGGGCTGCAGAGCTGCCCCCTTGGATTCTGAGGAGCTTTTGGGTGCCCTGGAGGGAAGGGCTGCACCAAGGCAGGTGCAGGGGAGCCTGCAGAGATCAGTGCTGCTGGGTCCTGCCAACCTGCTCCGTGTGCCAGGCACTTGGAAAGTCTCTTCTGTTTTGGCATTCCTACAGAAAGCTGGGCTGCTGGAGGCACTGAGGCAGAAAGAGGAGACCAGGACACAAGGTGAACATTGTGCTGCTGTGGGCAGGGGATGTGTGTGCACTGAAATGCTTCAGTGTTCCAGCCTGGAGGAGAAATAAGCAAAACGATGGAAATGGGTGGCTGGGTGTCAACTTGATGACCACAGGTTGGCAGGGGGGTAAAGAGGGGGTGTATTTTGCCTTTGAGGTCCCTTCCAGAACTCCAAAGCCACATGGAACCCCAAACTATCCTCTGGTGGTGCAAGAGGAGGGGGGTTTGTTGCCCTCTAGCTCTTCTGTAAGAGGCCTGGGTGTTTCACCCCAGCAGTTTGCTCTTACCACCTAGGTGGGGTAACATCATCTGCCCGAGGAAACAGCATCCCAGCAGCTTTCCTCTGTGTCAGCCAAGGCTCCTGCTGGGAGATCCAAGAGAGCCATCTCGTGTCTGAAGCCTGGCAGGGAAAGCAAAGCTCCTGGGCTTTGCTGTGCTGCTTTGTGGGCACTTTGCATGGACTGGGATTGGCAGAGACTTGGCACTTGGAATCACAGAGTCACACAGAAGGGTTTGGGTTGGAAGGGACCTTGAAGATCATCTAGATCCAACCCCCTGTGTGGGCAGGGAAACCTCCCACCAGCCCAGGCTGCCACTGCAAGTGATCAGGAAGGGCTGTAGCAGAAGAGCAGGACACAGAGCTCCTGCCCCAAGAGGATCCAAAGAACTGGCTGCTTTACCTGGCCAGGCTTTCTTAAATGAGACAACAGAACATCTGCTGTGTCACCTTTGATCCAACCATGCCTAGAAATGAGCCAGATCACACAAACTCCCTTCTTGGGCTTTTTCTTCCTGTTGGAAGGGAATGCAAAACCCTCCCTGAGCCAGTGCAAAGGGAGGAGGGTGAGAGAGGCAGAAGGTGTCTTAGATCCTTCACTGTCCCCTCACGGGTGGCTGTTGCTTGCAGAGGTGTGAGCTGTGCTGTGTGCAGGTGGAGCTGGACTTCACCTGCATCTCCTGCCTGGGTCCCACTCCCACCTCACTCAGCAGGAGCTCAGGCAGGGGGGAGGTCAGCTTGGTGGCTTGGAAACAAGAAAACCAGCACCAACTTTCTTTGAAGATGAGGAGTTGAAGGGGCTGGCTGGGGAGCAGAGGGGAGGACTTGGCAGGACTTGGCAGCAGGGTCTGCAGGAGCTGCAACAGGAGGGAGAAGCTGGACTGCTCCTCACTCCTCTGAGGCCCTTCAAAGCTGCAGGACTAGTCATTGTTTCCATGGGATGCTGGGGTAGACTCCTCAGGGTGGGGTGGTGCAAATGCTGAGCGAGTTGAGAGTCCTCAGAGCCTTGCAGGAGGGAGTTACAGCCTCCCTGGGGTGGTGGAAGGAGCAGGACAAGTCCTGGTGGACCAAGTCCAACATCTGCTTGGATGAGATCAGCTGCAGGGGAGCCTGGGGAAAGGACATGGGATAAATCAGGGTCTCGTGGGGTCCTCCACGTTGGGAGACAGGATGGAGAAGGCCCACAAGCTGCAGAGGCCTTGAACTTGAACCACGTGTCCTGGGCATTTCTCCCCCTTTTTGTGGAGCAGGGTTCTTTCATTTTGACTTGGCCAGGGACAAGAGATTCCCCCTTGGAAGCAGCAGGAGGAAGGATGTGAGCTGGAGCTGCCCCACGCTGGGGGCTGCCCAACCCCCTGCCCCAACCATGGGGCTCAGTCTGGAATAGCAGCCCAAGAAGCAGTTTAGTAGCAGTTGTGCTTTTAGTACTAGCTGGGAGTACTGGTTGAGTTTTAACTTGGGGTTTCTCTATGTTAAGATCAGAAGCTTAGAAACAGAGTTACCTGAAGGGCAGAAGAACAAAACTGAGGTGAGTGGGGAAGAGCAGGCATGGACTGGAGCACAAGAGGTGCAAGGAGGTTTTCCCTGGGCAACAATGGTTTGGTTTAGAAAAGCATTAAAGGAGAGTCTCCTGGGAATGCTCTTTGTCACCATCTTCTGAGTGTCCACAGCCCATCAGCTCCTGCAGGACAGATGGATGTCTGCTGGAGCTGCCACAGTGATCTCCATCATAACTCATCTCTCACAGACTGGTTTGGGTGGGAGGGACCTGAAAGATCATCCAGATCCAACCCCCTGCATGGGCAGGGACACCTCCCACCAGCCCAGGCTGCTCCAAGCCCCATCCAACCTGCCCTTCAACACTGCCAGGGATGGGGCAGCCACAGCTTCTCTGGGCAACCTGGGCCAGGCTCTCACCACCCTCACACCAAAGAATTTCCTCCTCATGTCCAACCTCAATCTCCCCTCTTCCAGTTTTAATCCATCCCCCTCATCCCATCCCTCCCTGCCCTTGTCCCAAGTCCCTCCCCAGCTTTCCTGGAGCCCCTTCAGGCACTGGAAGCTGCTCCAAGGTCTCCCTTCCATGCATCCCCTGCATCCCCACCTAAACCCAGGGATGGGGCACCTTCAGCACTGGAAGCTGAGGAGCTTGGTCACTCCCTGGTGAGGGTGAAGGGTTTACACGTGGGAAGGTGCTCGATTCTTGTTTCAGGTTTAGTGAAGCCCTGGCAGCCCGTGGGTGCTTCTGCAGGGCTGTTTCCCAGCTGGATTTGGGCTGGCTTTGCTGTCAGTTCATTTTCCAGCCAGACCATTGGATCTGCCAGGTGGATAAACCAGTCAGAGGTTGTTACATGTGGGAGAGGACCTTCTTGGGTCAGCTGGAGGCTCCAGGCCTTCAGAGGTGTCCTGCCAGCCCTGGGTGCAGGAATCCTGCTGCCAACTTTGGAGAACTGGTTTTCCTATCCTTGTTTTCCAGAATACACATTTCCTGCCATTTGTTTCCTCTTTTGCCAGAATCAATGGTGCTGTAGAAGTGACTCTTAATTTTTCTTGTTCCAGATGCTGGAAAGCTGCCAGGAAATGATAGAAAAGTTGGGAAATCAGCTGGGAGAGCAGAGAGAATGGAGAAAGCAATTTGCATTTGAGCTTAAACTGCAACAAGAAGATCTGAAGGCTGAGAAGAAGTTCATGGGTGGTCAGGTACTCAACACCTCCTACTGGGCCTCCCTGCAGGAGGGAGTTGTCTTTTGTGACTCCAGAAAACATCCCCAGATGCTCCCCAAGTGTGTTTCTTGGCTCCTCTTGATGGATTTCTCTAGTCCAGCCACTTTCAGAGGTTCTCTGGCAGGTGGTTTTAAGTCCATCTGCTTTAGCAGAACTGTCTCCTTCATTTAATTTTCCTGTCAGTGAAACTAATGACAAAACAGTCATTCCAAGTTTGGAGCCAAAGGCACCTTCCCCAAAAGGCAGGGGGGAAGTTTCCAGACTTGGGTATTTATTGCAGAGTTAGTGGTGACCTTCAGTTCTCCATGTCCCAGCAGGCAGGGTCTGAGCCTCCCTTGCAGGGCAACATCCCAGGTACCCAGGAGCAGTGGCTGCTTCCCTGAGGTCCATCAAGTGGCAAATTCTGGATCTGTGTAACATGGGTCCCCTTCAGGTCTTTCTTAGCCAGGACAGGACATGGTGGGAAGGCAGAACAGCCAAGAGTCAGAGCAGCCTGGGTGGGCAACCTGCTGGGATCCTGGTACTGCCCCCAGGACCTCAGTGCACTTGGCTTGAGGTGGTTTAACTGCTGGGTTAGATTTCTGGGGAGAGCTGCTGTCTCCCAGTCCCTGCTGGAAGAGTTGCTGGTGCTCTCATCTTCCAGCTGGGTCAGAGGAGAGAGAGTTTGTGCTGCCAGCAGAGTTGCACAAGGGCTGGACAAGGGCTGAAAATTGGGTGAGAAAGCTGCAGATCTGTGGCCTGGGCCAGGCAAAGGGAACCTGAGGGGAACAGGCAAAGGGTTTGGGGGTACATGTGTTACAAACCCATTTTCTACCCCTCTGAGAGGCCTTCAAGCAGCTCGGGAGTCCTGTCACTTCCTTGATCTTCAGTAAAACCATCTGAGCTGTTGGCACAACTGCTGGTCCACAGGAGTTTTGCTGGAGGAGCAGTGGGTCCTAGAGAGGGCCCTGGGAGTGCCAGGCAGCAAAAGCAAGCCTTGCACAAGGGAGGGTTAGGAAGGGACTGGGTCAGTCTCTGAATAAACACATGAAAAGGGGTTGTCTGATTTGGGGGAAGATGGGGAAAGAGGACCATGGACCCATTTGTCCATCCAACTGAAAGGAGGAGACTTTGGGTAGGATGTGGCTGCTGTGGGGAGTGTGTGGAGAAGGGTTTAGAAAGGAATTCTTCATTTTTGGGAAGGACAGCTGGAATTGGTGCTTTCTCAAAGGGGCAAACTGGGGCTGGGGAGAGCTGATTTGGGGAGAAATCAAAAAAATGGCTGAAAGATCATGTGGGGTGTCATGGATTCACAAGGAGGTGTGGATGTGGTGCTGAGGGACACGGTTTAGTGGTGGCCTTGGTAGTGCTGGGTGAATGGTTGGACTGGATCTGAAGGGTTTTTTTCCAACCCAAATGATTGCATGATTCCATGGGAAGTGGGCAGAGTCACTCTGTAACCTTTGCATCCCAACAGTTCAACCTGCTCATGATCCAGGGACTTTTAAATCAGAATCCTACATCCCCATGTTTGCTTCAGCCAGTTCAGCCACCAGCTGGCTGCTGGTTTTGCCCAAGGAGGGGACTTCTTTTCCATGATCACAAGGTGAAACCCAGTGGCCTGTGTTAGGCTGTAAAAGTCTTTAGAACAGGGGGCTTGGCACGTGGTCGGTAGGATTCCCAACTTTACAAGTGGGTTCATTCCCTTTTGCTAGAGCAGCTGGATTGGGATGAATC